CCTCATGCACTCATGCACTCATGCCCTCATGCACTCATGTACTCATGCACTCATGCACTCATGCACTCATGCCCTCATGCCCTCATGCACTCATGCACTCATGCCCTCATGCCCTCATGCCCTCATTCCTCATGCCCTCACGCCCTCATGCCATCATGCCCTCATGCCCTCATGCACTCATGCCCTCATGCGTTTAGGCCCTCATGCCCTCATGCCCTCATGCCCTCATGCATTCATGCACTCATGCACTCATGCCCTCATGACCTCATGCCTTCATGCCCTCACGCCCACATGCCTTCATGCCCTCATGCACTCATGCACTCATGCCCTCATGCACTCATGTACTCATGCACTCATGCACTCATGCACTCATGCACTCATGCCCTCATGCCCTCATGCCCTCATGCCCTCACGCCCTAATGCCTTCATGCTCTCATGAACTCATGCCCTCATGCACTCTTGCCCTCATGCCCTCACGCCCTCATGCACTCATGCACTCATGCCCTCATTCACTCATGTACTCATGCACTCATGCACTCATGCCCTCATGCCCTCATGCACTCATGCACTCATGCCCTCATGCCCTCATGCCCTCATTCCTCATCCCCTCACGCCCTCATGCCATCATGCCCTCATTCCCTGACGCCCTCATGCCCTCATGCCCTCATGCCCTCATGCCCTCATGCCCTCAGGCCCTCATTCCTTCATGCGCTCATGCCCTCATGCCCTCATGTACTCATGCACTCATGCACTCATGCCCTCATGCCCTCATGCCCTCATGCCCTCATGCACTCATGCCCCATGCCCTCATGCCCTTTTGCCCTCACGCCCTCATGCCCTCATGCCCTCATGCACTCATGCCCTTATGCCCTCATGCCCTCATGCTCTCAGGCCCTCACACCCTCACGCTCTCATGCCCTCATGCCCTCATGCCCTCATGCCCTCACGCCCTCATACCCTAATGCCCTCTTGCCCTCATGCCCTCATACCCTCATGCCGTCATGCCCTCATGCACTCATGCACTCATGCTCTCATGCCCTCACGCCCTCATGCCATCATGCCCTCATGCCCTGACGCCCTCATGCCCTCATGCCGTCATACCCTTATGCCCTCATGCCCTCATGCACTCATGCACTCATGCACTCATGCCCTCATGTTCTCATGCCCTCATTCCTCATGCCCTCACGCCCCCATCCATCATGCCCTCATGCCCTGACGCCCTCACGCCCTCATGCACTCATGCCCTCATGCCCTCATGCCCTCAGGCCCTCATTCCTTCATGCCCACATGCCCTCATACCCTCATGTACTCATGCGCTCATGCACTCATGCCCTCATCCCCTCATTCCCTCATGCCCTCATGCCCTCATGCACTCATGCCCCATGCCCTCATGCCCTCATGCCCTCAAGCCCTCACGCCCTCATGCCCTCATGCCCTCATGCACTCATGCCCTTGTGCCCTCATGCCCTCATGCTCTCAGGACCTCACACCCTCACGCCATCATGCCCTCATGCCCTCATGCCCTCATGCCCTCATGCTGTCATGCCGTCATCCCCTTATGCCCTCACGCCCTCATACCCTCATGCCCTCATGCCCTCACGCCCTCATGCCCTCATGCCCTCATGCCCTCATGCACTCATGCCCTCATGCCCTCATGCCCTCAGGCCCTCATGCACTCACGCCCTCATGCCCTCATGCCCTCATGCCCTCATGCACTCATGCCCTCGTGCCCTCATGCCCTCAGGCCCTCATGCCCTCATGCCTTCATGCCCTCATGCCCTCATGCCCTCATGCATTCATGCACTCATGAACTCATGCCCTCATGACCTCATGCCTTCATGCCCTCACGCCCTCGTGATTTCATGCCCTCATGCACTCATGCACTCATGCCCTCATGCACTCATGTACTCATGCACTCATGCACTCATGCCCTCATGCCCTCATGCCCTCATTCCCTCATGCCCTCATGCCCTAATGCCTTCATGCTCTTATGCACTCATGCAGTCATGCCCTCATGCACTCAACCCCTCATGCCCTCACGCCCTCATGCACTCATGCCTTCATGCTTTCATGCACTCATGCAATCATGCCCTCATGCCCTCATGCCCTCACGCCCTCACGCCCTCATGCCCTCATGCCCTCATACCCTGACGCCCTGATGCCCTCATGCCCTGATGCCCTCATGCACTCATGCCCTCATGCCCTCATGCCCTCATACCTTCACGCCCTCATGCACTCCTGCACTCATGCCCTCATGCCCTCATGCCCTCATGCCCTCATGCCCTCATGCCATCATGCACTCATGCCCTCATGCCCTCATGCCCTCAAGCCCACATGCCCTCACGCCCTCATGCCCTCATGCCCTCATGCACTCATGCCCTTATGCCCTCATGCCCTCATGCTCTCAGGCCCCTACGCCCTCACGGCATCATGCCCTCATGCCCTCATGCCCTCATGTCCTCATGCCGTCATGCCCTCATGCCGTCATGCCCTCATGCCGTCATGCCCTCATGCCGTCACGCCCTCATGCCCTCATGCCCTAAAGCCCTCATGCCCTCATGCCCTCACGCCCTCATGCACTCATGCCCTCATGCCCTCATGCCCTCATGTCCTCATGCCCTAGTGCCCTCATGCCCTCATGAACTCATGCCCTCATGCCCTCATGCCCTCATGCCATCATGCCCTCATGCCCTCATGCCCTCATGCCCTAATGTACTCATGCACTCATACCCTCATGCCCTCATGCCCTCATGACCTGATGCCCTCATGCCCTCATGCACTCATGCCCTCATGTCCTCATGCCCTCATGCCCTCATGCCCTCATGACCTCATGCCCTCATGCCCTCATGCCCTTATGCCCTCATGCCGTCATGCCGTCATGCCCTCATGCCCTCACGCCCTTACGACCTCATGCCCTCATGCGGTCATGCCCTCATGCCCTCAAGCCCTCATGCCCTCACGCCCTCATGCCCTCATGCCCTTATGCCCTCATGCACTCATGCCCTCATGCCATCATGCCGTCATGCCCTCATGCCCTCACGCCCTCATGCCCTCATGCCCTCATGCCCTCATGCCCTCATGCCGTCATGCCCTCATGTCCTCACGCCCTTACGCCCTTATGCCGTCATGCCGTCAAGCCCTCATGCCCTCAAGCCCTCATGCCCTCACGCCCTCATGCCCTCATGCCCTCATGCCCTTATGCACTCATGCCCTCATGCCCTCATACCGTCATGCCCTTATGCCCTCACGCCCTCATGTTCTCATGCCCTCATTCCCTTATGCCCTCATTCCATCATGACCTCATGCCCTCATGCCCTCATGCCCTCATGCCCTCATGCCGTCATGCCCTCATGCCCTCATGCCCTCATGCCCTCATTCCCTCATGCCCTCATGCCCTCATGCCCTCGTGCCATCATGCCATCACGCCATTATGCCCTCATGCCCTCATGCCATCATGTCGTCATGCCCTCATGCCCTCACGCCCTCATGCCCTAATGCCCTCATGCCCTCACGCCCTCATGCCCTCACGCCCTCTTGCCCCGATGCCCTCATGCCCTCTTACCCCCATTGTACAACTTTTTTAACCCTTCCTCCCACCTTCCACCCTTTGTTCGCCGGTAAAAACTTCAGCGCACGCTGCAGGATCGGAGAGCTCGACGTCCCCACGTGGCGACCGACCTCGTCCTCCAGCTCGTCCTCGTCGACAGAAGGTTCGGGACTTGCAACGCGCCGCGCCTTACGTGGGTTGACCCTGTCACACTCGCCCCTTGCGTTGTCACGCTTGCGTTTCTTGGCCTGCTTGTTGGCGAGCGAGGCCAGCAGTGCCGTCTCCAGCCTTGCCATGGTGGCTGCCGTATCCATCTGCATCTTGCGCAGCGCAACCATCTCCGCCCGTGTCACTGGAGCGGAATCGGAGGCCTCCTCCTGCGTAGCCTCTTTGTCGCCGTCGACGCGCGGATTTACCCGTGGAAGAGCTTCGTTTGGATCGTCGTCCGACGAGACAGGATCAGGGACCGTCGGTGATGGTTTATCAGGGCCTTCTTCGTCCGCCATTTCTGACACCTTGCTCCTCTTTCCAGCCCGAGCGGAACGCGCTTCCTCGTGCGTCCTTGAAGGTCCTGCCTTGCGGCGATGAGAGGTCGTCTCGCGAGACGATGAACCCTCGCCATCCCGATGGTCATGCGCCTCGGGCGGGGGAGTTGACGCTGCGAACCAAAGGCACGGTAAGTGTTAGTGTGGGGCATGTACCCTACACGATCATTTACACACGCACAATAACACACAAGACACACATACCACGTTCCGAAGTGACGCTCGGCGCGGGCCTCGCAGCAGTTTTCGCCCTCCTTGCAACCGGCGCCTTCGGCACCGGTGGACGCTTGGAGTTTCCCGGCAGCACATAGTTCTTCAGGTGTGACGGGGTCTTGGACACACGCTGACGTTTCCCGTCCCTGGACGCTCTTCCACTCTCTGTGCCACTGTCCATGTTGACTGCTGCAACTAGACAGACGATGTGCACAATGGTACACATCGCCTGTTTTTGTGCACAAACCTGCCTTCGTCCAAGACTTGCGTCCGAAATAGGCATGATTTGACGTGGAATCCACCCACACACCTCGAAATCTGCTGCCCTATCCTTGCTTGACAGCAAGACAAACTCCAGCACTTCCCCTATCGGTCTAGGTTGGACGCAATTGTAACCATTCACGTACCAGCCTGCTCATGCCACCATGTATGGTAACCTCAGACTACACCGGTACATTCGTGGTCACACAAAATGTGTTGCAACACCTTCACCACCACAACCATTTTTGCACTACCTTTCTAAACGGATACATATGGCCTAAGAACATCACACAAGGTACAACCATGTCTTCAAATGTGCAACACAGCATCAAAATCTAAACATTCCATGCGCAACAACAACCACAGCAGCTTCTACATTTCCAGGGTACTGGACTCCCATTTTGGCGCTTTTTGCTTCCATTGCCCTCACACTATCACTGGGCCTGCGTGCACTCAATACCCCCATCACTATCTTGTTCCCTACTGTCCTCCTTGCTCACAAGATCCTCATCTGCTTCAGCCGTCCGTGTCTCGCTATCAGCGGCATCTACTTTCAGTGGAGGTGACTCCGCACCTGGCTCCGGCTTGAAGGGCGTGCCTGGCAGAACACCAATGTCGTTCATGGCTTCACGCCACTCCCTCCACCTGTACCACTGGCGCTTCTGTACAAGATGCCTCACGTCATCCACTATTGCTCCCTCCAGTGCAGCCATCTCCGCGTCTGTCAACGCCATCACCTTGGGGAAGTGGTCCTTCCTCCTGATCACAAACGCTCCAGCCGCGTACGCGTAAGCCGCGTCCTTCTCATCCATGTACGCGCCAAGGCGAACCTGCTTCCCAGTCGAAGGCTCTGCAACTATTTTCACACACCACTTTCGCACGCGGAGATCAAACCACACCCCCGTGTACTCGCTAGAACCACCCCGTTTCCCCACACCCCCTGCGCCACTGGCCTTCCCCCTTGTGGCAGTGGTCTTCTGCATTCGAAGACCTGCACGACGACCCTTAACTGGCGTGGCGTCTGGGGTGTTCGGCTTGACCGTGTTGGAGACGTGTCCCTGTGTGTTCACGTCGGTTCCCCCCTGCGTCTGCGGGAAGTTGACACGGACGACACCATGGTTAGGCAGTGGAGCTGGGTTGTGGTGAAGAAGTTTGGGGAGCCACCTCGTCGCTGCGTCTCGCTCCCGCTGCCTGTCCCCCGTGCTGGGCCGCCTGAGGAGTCGCGTCCCATGTGTTCGCAACTCATGTGCACACGCGGCTTCCAGTTGCTCCTGGGTGATACCGAGGCTGATGCGATACTCATCACTGCAGCCGCGAGGAGAACAGCATCCACCTCCGTGCTATTCCGATCCCGGAAAAGCTTCGACAGGTCTGTTCTGACCTCGTCTTCGGTAGGAAACAGCATGCAGCCCTCGTCTCCTACGCGCGCAGTCGGTTGCAGCGGCACCTCGACTTGCTCCAGGTATAGCTGCACAAAAAGCTCCCCCACAGCAAGACTGCAGACATCCCGGCGTATGCCTCGCCAGTAGGTGCGCGAGGTGACGCCGTTGTAGTTCACCCAAGTGAACACCGTCTGGAATCCAGTGTTGACTAGCCCATGGAGGTACATGCAAACGAACACATCGCAGTCGGTGTCGTTAGCCTGCTGCGGGATCACCTCCCTCTGCAAGATACACCCACGTGCGCAAATGGTTTAGTACCTGAGTTCCGTGGGTTAGGGTTCGCAGTCAACCACTCAGGTCGGTAAGGTAGCCAACTGGAACATACCTGAATGACTATGCGTTTGGCGCCCCTCAGCGCCCTTTCGGCGTACTGATGGTCGGCGGTTGGTCGACGAGCCTTGTGAAGGAGAAACAGAGTCCTGCGATACCATCATTGCACGGATTAGTGGAAGCGCACCCACACTGGTTGCGGATAGCCCATATGCATGATGAGGCCGGGACTCACTTCTTGACACCCTCGATCACCTCTGGCGTCCTTGTGTGCATGCCATGGCTGTCATAGTGGATCAGGCTTAGAGGCGCTTCCTCCCCCTCCGATGACATTTTGCGTGTCAAAGCCCCCAGATTCACCGCAATAACCAGAGAGAAATGCCTCCTGTAGGTGCTCACGGAGGTTACCACATCGCAGAAAAAAAATAAGGACAACCACATCCTACATCGGTGCACGGAACGATGCGGAATAATTAGCGGGTCATCTAGTCCCACCTCGCTATAACCGGTATTGCAAGGTAGTCAAGGTTGAAAATACAAGGAGAGCTTCCCATTGGCAACGCCCTGTTCAACTGCGTCGCGTACACGTAGGCTTTGGTGTCCAGCGGAAACCATGTCTTGCCGTCAGGCAGAACCGGGTGTCGGATGTTCAGAAGTCTACACACGCACAGGTCACCACTCTGTAATGGGTTAACACACACGGTCGTCAGTAATTGTATAAACGACTGATGAAACGGAAAGGAAACTCACATGTTGTGAAAATCAACGATGCTGTCGGCAAGATACTGGCCGTCGGCCGTGGTTATCGCATCCTGGGCGTTCACCTGGCACCCCACGCCATAAGGGCCGTATAGCATCACTGGCTGGAAAGCCTTCTGGTTTTCCGGTACCTTCAACCTTCGGATCAAGTCGTCCGGCTCGTCGGTCACAGTAGATGGGACGACTTGCACAGCTCTGCCGCGTGCGCCCTCGGAGCTCTCTAGCATTAATATTCCACGCTTAGTGTCGCTGTCAGCGGGCGGTGGCGAGTCCGTACCCGGCCTCTTTGTGCGCATCCGCTCAATCAAGTCGTCGGCGAGGGATGACAGTGGTGGGGAACCCCCGTCCGGCTCGGATTTTTCATGCCTTGTACGCTTCGACATAGTGCAGTTAGCGTCTACGTGTGCAGAAAAGTGAGCACCTGCAGCAAAGAACGGGAGCATTTAATGAGACGCATGGTCTACCGTGCTCAAACTCTACTGTCTGCTCGACCGCTCTGCTGGACAGTAAGCTCTGCCCAAGCCCTTGATGTGCGGGAGGAAGTGAATCCGATGACGTCGCATGTGCGTATAGGAGAGGTTTCGGATGCAGACGAGGTTTCCACGCGTCCTGGAAAATAGAGAGCGCGCCAAAAGAGAACACTCTGGATCGGACACATGCAGACCAAGCAAAGCATTGAGGGTTGGATCCTTGTAACGAGTTTGGAAAATTGGGAGACCTCTACATCTGATGTGATAACACGTAATGCGTAACACATACGAAAAAGAATCGAGTATTTTAAACATGACCACCCAAACGCGTCCGCTACCAACGCGTGTCTTACGTTTACACACTGGTCCCGTAACATACCGTATAAACGACTTCGCCGCACAGAACCTAACTACACAACACGATTTGTTAGTAGAACCGTTTTCCAACGTGATGCTGAAATACATATCGGTTGCAAGGAATGACAGGCAGAATCCAATCACACGTGGGGATCCTGACACAGGGTGTACGTGCGTTAGTTACTCTCGAATCTGCGGGCAAGAAACGTAGGCCGCTCCCACGTTTGCCACATGGCAGATGGAGCCCGTCGTTTGTACGCGCTTACAGGGTTGCGCAGTGCCAGATTGTGGTCGGAGTTTTGATTCTCTCAAAAAAAGGTACAACAAGTCAAAACATAATGGGTTCATTGCACTGACAAGCCAGCACATACAACATCCAACAAGCGTCAGCCATGGACGTTGTTGCCACTGACGGATGATGCGAGAGGAGAGCTGTTGCATTGCAACATATCTCCGTCTAAGCCGTCGCTGCCGCTGCAACCAACCACGGCCAGGCGCTTATTGCCCAGACGAGGCCGCTTAGGAGGCGTGCGACGGAGACGGTTGATGACGTCGTCGTTGGACAGTCCAGTGCGCTCAGGCAAGTCACGAGGAGGGATGCCCATTTCAGCCGCGGTACGTACGGACGTCTGCATAACGGCTCTCACTACTCTACGGCGGCTACGAGGATCGTGCAGGCTAGGCCCAGGTGGCATACTCAGCAGAACGGTGAGGTCCTCCGCTGAGTTGTCTGCGACGGCCGTGCCGCGGCCGATGATAGCGAGAATGCGAGTGTCGCACGCCGCGTAGTCGGGGGCTTGCATGATGCCGGAGTCGCCCTTGGTGAACTTGTTTATCATCTGTTGCAGACGGACGAGCTGGGTTATGAGTGGCTCCACAGTCACACAAGTTGCATGATTTTCCGTCAGATGCAGGAGCGGCCTCCACGCCATAGGCAGCATCCCAGACTTGGCCCAGGAGAGATGGACAGCCCTGGATGGAGTGCAGTCGGAGGCAGACCCTACCCATAGCAGTACGTTCTCGTAGGCTATTATGGGCATGGCGCCATGAGACAGCCATGCCGAGTCCTTTATGATGAAGGCGAGGTAGCGGGACCGGAAAATCGTCTTAAACATCTCGACCACCCCGTTGAACCACAGAAGGTTGTATGGGGACACGACACCCGCGAGATGAACAATCTTGGTGGATGGGAGCTGCTGCACACGAAACTTGAACATAGTGCTCTCGTCACAGGCCGGGTCCAACGACACGTGAGCGGCGCTCGCCACGAGGACAATGGCGGTATTGTTGTGGCCGAAACGGTCCATGTTGAAGGTGTCCATGTACTCGGTAAAGCACTGCGAGCCATAAGGGGTTGACAGATTTGACGCTAAACATTATGGATGTGTTGCGCAGCACAACCTCAATACAAGAAATTGTCGTGCACGCACCTCGGCGGTGAGTTCCCCAGATCTCGTTTGACGAAAATGCACGGGCTTCCCATCCGGGAAGAGCGGGCGGTAGGGGCGGTGACGAGCACGACGCGTCACGACAATAGGCGGCTGCGACGATGACCCAGTTGCGTTAAACAGCAGGCAAACGCGAAGTTCGCACTTCGGCCTGTACCGGGTGTCGGGCTCCACATTATACGTGAATGGCAAAGTGGCCGCGAGTAGCGGCGTCTCCACGAAGCAGAACACGTCTTCAGGGTGGGCGCGTAGCGACTCGAGGAGCTGCACAAGAGCGGCCATAGCAAGGACACTAGCATGGAGAAAAGTGTGCGTGTGCGGTAATATGACGTTCGTGTCCTGAAGGGAGGACATCCTTGTGTGCAGCGGTAAGGTCTGTACGAGGTTGTGCACCTCACAGACGCAATCCGCACAGTGGACACGGGAATGACACAACGCCACGTAAGTGCCACACATGGTGTGCTACGATTGGCGAGACATGTTTGCGTCTAAAAGAGTTTGGATGAGGTTTGGCCGTGCACATGTGGCATTTCGGTCACCACATGTTGAGCAAGGGTTGAGTAAGGTGGCTCCGCTAGTGAGTGAGGTTTTGAATAAAACCTTTACACACGATCTAGTTGGCCATGTACAGTCGGGTCTTCTGTTCTGTGTAATGAGGATGGAGGTTTGTACCCGCATCGTGTGCAGCAGCACATCGAAACCCTAGAAGGAAGCATGCACCCAACATCCGTGTTGCACAAAATAACAAGCAGCAAATCGGCCGTGTTCAGTTCAAGAGGAGGACCGATACGTGTTGTTGTACATCGTTGACCGTTTAAGGACGTCGGATCTGGGAGCAACCCTGCACGTTCCGTGGACTGGTAAACGGGGACATGTCAATGCTTATTTGCGAAGCATGTGGCGGGCATTTCGCAAACACTATCGCGCTGCGGACACACAGGAGTTGCCACCCACGCTGTGCGGGCATGCGTTCCCCTTCGACGAATGTTACGTACCTTGAGAGCCGGGGAGAACATGTGAGAGTCAGAGGTGGACGGCATGTGGGGATGTCGCATGCCGACTACGTCACGGTGTTACGCGCAGACGGCCTTAGCTCTGGTGATGATCTGCATTGGATGTTCGGTGTCCTTAGAAGCCCGGGGTTGTGCTCTCGAGACGCTGACCGGCTGTTGGCTTTGCTAAGGAACCCCCGCTTCTCGCTGCGTGATGTGCATGCCTTTCGTTCACTTCACTGACGCCCTCCATGTTCTATGGCGCTATGGGCGGCGTTGTCTGCATTGCCTAGTGCGGCATCTAGAATACGCAAGCGCAGGGGACGGCGGTTAATTGCACACGTACCATGGTATGTGGGGGGTGTGTGAGAAACGCTAGCGGAGTGCTGAGGAGGGTTTGTTGAGACGGAGTTTCTGGAGTGTTCAGTATTGTAAAGCACACTAGTCGTGCTCTTTGTGCTGGTCTATATGCGTAGATTGCATTCAATGAAGTAGTTTGACACCATTATTTATACGTGTAATTTGGACCAGTACATAGTGTGGGAAACACAATTTGTTGCGGTACTACGGGGTGTGTTGCTGACGCGTATGTAGTGGCGTGTGTGTGGCCATCTCGTGTCATGTCTATTTCCGCCGCTCTGTGGGCAAAATGGCATGAGCACCGTCGCATTTGTTTGGCGAATGTGGCGTTACCAAAAAACAGATGTCATCGCATCATGAATCGTTTTCGCTGCTGTCAATCCGTGTTCAACTGCCACGTGTGATAAGTTCATCACCCAGTTCGTCAGTTTTGGATGAACCGAAGATGGGTGCTGGTGTGTCAGTGTTCACTACAGGTTGTGCCTTGAGGAAACAGTGTGAGACCCGTTGGGACCGTGGTGTATTAAAAGGGTGGGTGCAATAACACAAATTAGGGTTTCCCCCCTCGTCTGCAGCTATGTTAGGCAACGCGTGCGAAGCCTGCGGCTTAGAACACGTTGACGACAACACGCTGCAGCCACACCTGGCACGCAGTAAGCAATGCCGACGGAAGATACACCAAGCAAGGGCGGAGCGCCTGGTGGAGGCGTACCGGGAGGCTATGCGTGCTATGCGGGGCGCACGAGCGCCGTCACCGGTAAGGACACGTCATTCCGAGATGGAGCCGGACGCAAGACAGGGCGTCGAAGAGCCTCACGAAGAGGATGAGCTGCGAGCAGCAGCCGTACCGGACGCGGACGACGATGGGAGCGACGTTAGCAGCGTGGACGAAGGGTTTGATACGCTGACGGAGATGTACATATTCTTCCGGGACGCGGACCTATCCAGCAGAGAGGTTAACAGGCTACTGACAATTTTTAGCAACCCACGGTTTTCGGTGAGGGACGTTAGGAGATGGCTGAACTATGTGGACGTGAGGCGCTTTGGGAAAGCTATGGCGCCGACTGACCTCGTGCCGTGGTTGAAGACGGAGCTAAAGTGCTATGGACCCGGAGGAAAGATGGCGAGACTGCCGCTGCACTACCGGAACACGGAACTGGTGAGGGGACGTGGGGAGGTAGTGGTGTTTTAATAGACCGCTCATAGAGGTTGCGATTACTGCAGTTCGATGTTAAGAAGGGTCGGTTTGCCATGTCCCGTTTGACAGTTGGTGCAGAAGCTGGTGCGGACGTACATCCATTCAGAGGGTTTCGTGACGGAGCCTCGGACAGACAAGGATGATGGCGCTGGGAAAAGGCACTCCCGACACGGGCATATGGATGGAGAAAGCGCATGTGAGTAGGTAGGATGCTGCACAGGATTTGCTGTTGTGTGGTGTGGCAATGAGGCCCGTGGTGGTTCATATCGATGTATGAACATGGTTGGTGACGGCTGATGGGGTCGTAACGTGTGCAGGCGGCGCGTCCGGACCTGAAGGGGCTGATTCTGGGTGTTATAGTGTACAGCGACAGCACGCACGCTTCGTCAAACGGCAGGCTACAAGCGTGGCCGGTCCTGATAAGCCTCTTCAACATACCGGAGAGTATGAGGTGGCTTGAACCCGGACACGTGCTTGCAGGTGTGCTCCCGTTCCCTCCGGAGTGGGCGTCGTCCACGGAGAAGACGCGGGTATTCCAGGAGGCTATGGCCATCATTTTTTAGCCACTGCTAAGAGAGCACAGAGGGTGAGTGTTGTGAATGCGTTTGTGGTGGGATAGTGATGAACTGGTGATTTATGAGTGTGTGTCAATGGCCATGTCGTTGGCAGGGCGAAACTCAAGTTCATCTACGTCACGGATGCGTCGGGGAAGGTGGTGAAGGCGTACCCTTGTTTGTTCGCGGAGGTCGGGGACTACCCGAAGTCGTCACGTTGCACTGCGACGATGCAGCAGAGGTCACACAGGCCATGCAGCTCGTGCTACATAAAGAGGGAGCATCTGGTAGAGCTGAGGACTGAGACGACAGTGCGCACCGCCGAGCTGCACAGGCGCACGGTGGAGGCTATTGTGAATGCACCATCGAGCGACAATGCCGGCAAAATAATGCGCAGGTGGTCGACACACCTAGTGCATGTAAGAGGGGCTGATTTGAGGGTTGAGCAGAGTGTTTAGGTGGATGTGTAGTTGCATTTGTAAGACATGTACCATGTGTGGTTTTGTCAGCGGCAGAACCGTGCGACTGTCCATTTGACCGGAACCCATTATTCTGTGTACGGCAGTGTTTCATGGAGAGGTGGAATTTCGCGGACACGGAGTGGGGGAATGTCTTTCTGGCGTGCGTCGCGTACATATTGCACGTGCTGGACGGCGGGAAGTTGGGGCACCTCACCGACATATTCATCAAGGGGAAAAGCAAGCCGGAGAGGCGGGAGTTTGAAAGGTGAGTTACGACGTCTCAATTCTAAGTGTGTGTTCGTACGAGGTGCATTGGTAGTGACTCGGAGGCACTGTTGCAACATGGGCAGGCGCAAGAAAGAGCAGAAGAAGGACACGAGGACAACGGTTGTCCGCATCCCAGGGGGGGCATCCTGGTTCAGGACACGGGCGAACTATGCGGCGTTCGAGAACCGAGGGATGATGCAAGTGATGCCCATTCTCATCGCGTGGACGGCCGCAAGCCGGCGGAGGTGGAGCAGCGGACGAAGGAGGTACGAGCGTTCAGGAAGTACGCAATGTTCTACAAGGCACTGGTCGGCGTCGCAAAGCACACGGAGCAGACGCTGCGTGATGTCCGCACGGCTGCCTACGCGTGAGTGTTGGGGGAAGGAGGACGGGTTGGGGTGGCAGGGGGTTGTAGGGGTAGTGGGGGGATGCCATTGGTGGGTGGGTGGGGAGGGAGGGGGGGTGGTGGAAGAGAAGTACGGAGGGCTGGTGTAGGAGTAGTGGTATCTGAGCGTGTGGGGGGGGGGGGATTCTGGACCCCCTGTTGTGTAGGTGTTAGCAGCACGTGCGACTGTCGTGGCACGTGCTGTGGTGAAGAGGAGGGGTAGGGATGGGGGTCGGGCGACTCGGTGTGTTAACGAATTGGGTTTTTACGATGAAGACAAGGTATGTTATACGTGTTATGCCACTGTGTGAGTGAATGCTGACCGGTTCTGCTTGCAGGATGATGGACGTGTCAGAATGTTATTATTGTCTAGCCTGTAGTGGGGTGCTCTATAGCGAGTACAACCCAGTTAGGGCTTGCTATATGTACCCCAACTGCTGCTAGTGAAAACCTCTCTCCTTTCAATCATTCTTGCCTAGTCTTCTTGACATGCTATCAGAGCAGGTCGACCCCCTTGGGTCGATCCTGTGGGTGGGCCCGCCACCTAACTGCTTCCGCTGCTATTCTGCTTCTCGCACGCCTCGGGCGCGCGCCGTCTTCTTCCTGCCGTGCGCAAAATTTTTTAGGGTTTTTCATCCCGCCGTGCGCTCAGGGCGTACGGCGGTTTTCTGCCCGCCGTGCGCCCCGAGGCGCGCGGCGGTTTCCTGCCCGTCGTGGCGCCCCCGAGGACCTGCGCGCTGCCCCCCGTCGTCCTCCTCCCGTCGCCTCGTCGCGGCGCCCTGGGGGCCCGCGCGTCCCCCCCCCCCCCCGTCGCCTCGTCGCGGCACCTTGGGGGCCCGCGCTCCGCCCCCTCCCGTCGCCTCGTCGCGGCACCTTGGGGGCCCGCGCGCCGCCCCCTCCCGTCGCCTCGTCGCGGCGCCTAGGGGGCCCGCGCGCGGCCCCTCCCGTCGCCCGTCGAGCCGCCCTCGGGGGCCCGTGCGCGGCCCCCCTCCCGTCACCCGCCGTGGCGCCCTCGGGGGGCCCGCGCCCTGCTTCTTCGTGGCGCCCAAGAGCCACCCCGCTGCCTCCCTTCCCCTCCGTGCCCCGCCCCTGCTGTTTCCCGTGCTCCTGCCTGCGTTAGGGTTTGGGGGTGGCGGGCATGGGGGTGACCGGTGTGGGTAACCTGCGGCTCCTCCTCCCCCTCCGTCTCCCACTGCTGCAGCTGCCGCTGAGGGGGGTGTTTGTGTGGGAGCTGAGGGT